ATAGATAGATAGATAGATAGATAGATAGATAGATAGATAGATAGATAGATAGATAGATAGATAGATAGATAGATAGATATATATAGATAGATAGATAGATAGATAGATAGATAGATAGATAGATAGATAGATAGATAGATAGATAGATAGATAGATATAGATAGATAGATAGATAGATAGATAGATAGATAGATAGATAGATAGATAGATAGATATATAGATAGATAGAGATAGATAGATAGATAGATAGATATATAGATAGATAGATAGATAGATGATAGATAGATAGATAGATAGATAGATAGATAGATAGATAGATAGATAGATAGATAGATAGATAGATAGATAGATAGATAGATAGATAGATAGATAGATAGATAGATAGATAGATAGATAGATAGATAGATAGATAGATAGATAGATAGATAGATAGATAGATAGATAGATAGATAGATAGATAGATAGATAGATAGATAGATAGATAGATAGATAGATAGATAGATAGATAGATAGATAGATAGATAGATAGATAGATAGATAGATAGATAGATAGATATATAGATAGATAGATAGATAGATAGATAGATAGATAGATAGATAGATAGATAGATAGATAGATAGATAGATAGAGATAGATAGATAGATAGATAGATAGATAGATAGATGATAGATAGATAGATAGATAGATAGATAGATAGATAGATAGATAGATAGATAGATAGATATATAGATAGATAGATAGATAGATAGATAGATAGATAGATAGATAGATAGATAGATAGAGATAGATATAGATAGATAGATAGATAGATAGATAGATAGATAGATAGATAGATATATAGATAGATAGATAGATAGATAGATAGATAGATAGATAGATAGATAGATAGATAGATAGATAGATAGATATAGATAGATAGATAGATAGATAGATAGATAGATAGATAGATAGATAGATATAGATAGATAGATAGATAGATAGATAGATAGATAGATAGATAGATAGATAGATAGATAGATAGATAGATAGATAGATAGATATAGATAGATAGATAGATAGATAGATAGATAGATAGATGATAGATAGATAGATAGATAGATAGATAGATAGTAGATAGATAGATAGATAGATAGATAGATAGATAGATGATAGATAGATAGATAGATAGATATAGATAGATAGATAGATAGATAGATAGATATAGATAGATAGATAGATAGATAGATAGATAGATAGATAGATAGATCGATAGATAGATAGATAGATAGATAGATAGATAGATAGATAGATAGATAGATATAGATAGATAGATAGATGATAGATAGATAGATAGATAGATAGATAGATAGATAGATAGATAGATAGATAGATAGATAGATAGATAGATAGATAGATAGATAGATAGATATATAGATAGATAGATATAGATAGATAGATAGATAGATAGATAGATAGATAGATAGATAGATAGATAGATAGATAGATAGATAGATAGATAGATAGATAGATAGATAGATAGATAGATAGATAGATAGATAGATAGATAGATAGATAGATAGATAGATAGATAGATAGATAGATAGATAGATAGATAGATAGATAGATAGATAGATAGATAGATAGATAGATATATAGATAGATAGATAGATAGATAGATAGATAGATAGATAGATAGATAGATAGATAGATAGATAGATAGATAGATAGATGATAGATAGATAGATAGATAGATAGAGATAGATAGATAGATAGATAGATAGATAGATAGATAGATAGATAGATAGATAGATAGATAGATAGATATAGATAGATAGATAGATAGATAGATAGATAGATAGATAGATAGATAGAGATAGATAGATAGATAGATAGATAGATAGATAGATGATAGATAGATAGATAGATAGATAGATAGATAGATAGATAGATAGATAGATAGATAGATAGATATAGATAGATAGATAGATAGATAGATATATAGATAGATAGATAGATAGATAGATAGATAGATAGATAGATAGATAGATAGATAGATAGATAGATAGATAGATAGATAGATAGATAGATAGATAGATAGATAGATAGATAGATAGATAGATAGATAGATAGATAGATAGATAGATAGATAGATAGATAGATAGAGATAGATAGATAGATAGATAGATAGATAGATAGATAGATAGATAGATAGATAGATAGATAGATATAGATAGATAGATAATAGATATAGATAGATAGATAGATAGATAGATAGATAGATAGATAGATAGATAGATAGATAGATAGATAGATAGATAGATAGATAGATAGATAGTAGATAGATAGATAGATATATAGATAGATAGATAGATAGATAGATAGATAGATAGATAAGATAGATAGATAGATAGATAGATAGATAGATAGATAGATAGATAGATAGATAGATAGATAGATAGATAGATAGATAGATAGATAGATAGATAGATAGATAGATAGATAGATAGATAGATAGATAGATAGATAGATAGATAGATAGATAGATAGATAGATAGATAGATAGAATAGATAGATAGATAGATAAGATAGATAGATAGATAGATAGATAGATAGATAGATAGATAGATAGATAGATAGATAGCTAGATAGTAGATAGATAGATAGATAGATAGATAGATAGATAGATAGATAGATAGATAGATAGATAGATAGATAGATAGATAGATAGATAGATAGATAGATAGATAGATAGATAGATATAGCTAGAGTTGACGGACATAGTTTATTGATTCAAAAACCGATTCCGGATCAATTCTTATAATTAGATGTGGATGTTAAACAATTCTTTGGCGTTACAAACAATCAATTCTAAAGCAAAATATACTCAGCACTATAGTAGTGTAGGGTATGAAAAATATAAATATGAATCAACTAAATATAGTGTTATGAAATTAGAACTACATGAGACCTACAATCACAAATGATTCAAGTAACTCTCGTATAAATGCTATTTATTTTTAAAAATTCAAAGTTTACAATTTCAATAAAATATTTAAGCATGCACAATAACTCTTCTTTTATTTTTTTTCCAAAACATTGCGTGAATTTAAATTAAATGAAACTATTTTCGCAAAATAACATTTGGGCATTTCACGGTTTTTGTTTGACATAAATTTTTAATCCATTTTAATCATTACTAACCCTATATATTACCTCTTTTATAGGTTTTCATATGGCACTTACTAATATTTAGAATGTTTTTAAACTATTTCACTTTCAATAGAGGAACTTGAACTCTGTGATATGCCCTGTTGATGACGTTTGCCACGCTATCTGCATTTGCCAACACAATTGAGTCATTTCGAAACATCGATATCACCAGCAGTAACAACTAACTTACTGATTAACTGATAATATACATACCTATATTAACAATTAAATTTAAACAATTCATAATAAAGAGATTTGAACATAGTAATTACGATTTTTTTTCCAAATTTGAAAAAATTAATTAATTTATTTCTAGAAGGGTGCGAAGAAAATTTCCAGATTTTGGAAAATAGTACAAGAATCGTACGAATAAGAGTGTGTTTTGTGTTGAATATTAAGAGCCTTATATATGTACGATATTTATAAATGTCTATTATTCGATTTGTGTCTATATATAGACATTATATGAACTATAGTTCACATAATGGATATTCGTGTTGAATTTTGTCTATAGTTTAGTCTATAGTTTAGTCTATAGTCTAGTCTATAGTCTAGTCTATAGTATAGTCTAGTCTATAGTCTAGTCTATAGTATAGTCTAGTCTATAGTCTAGTCTATAGTCTAGTCTTTAGTATAGTCTACAGTCTAGTCTAGTCTATAGCCTAGTCTATAGTAGAGTCAATAGTCGAGTCTATAGTCGAGTCTATAGTCGAGTCTATAGTCGAGTCTATAGTCGAGTCTATAGTCGAGTCTATAGTCGAGCCTATAGTCTAGTTATAGTCTTGTCTATAGTCTAGTCTATAGTCTAGTTTATAATCTAGTCTATAGTCTAGTCTATAGTCTAGTCTATAGTCGAGTCTATAGTCGAGCCTATAGTCGAGCCTATAGTCGAGCCTATAGTCGAGTCTATATTCGAGCCTATAGTCTAGTCTATAGTCTAGTCTATAGTCTAGCCTATAGTCTAGTCTATAGTCTAGTCTATAGTCTAGTCTATAGTCTAGTCTATAGTCTAGTCTATAGTCTAGTCTATAGTCTAGTCTATAGTCTAGTCTATAGTCTAGTCTATAGTCTAGCCTATAGTCTAGTCTATAGTCTAGTCTATAGTCTAGTCTATAGTCTAGTCTATAGTCTAGTCTATAGTCTAGTCTATAGTCTAGTCTATAGTCTAGCCTATAGTCTAGTCTATAGTCTAGTCTATAGTCTAGTCTATAGTCTAGTCTATAGTCTAGTCTATAGTCTAGTCTATAGTCTAGTCTATAGTCTAGTCTATAGTCTAGTCTATAGCCTAGTCTATAGTCTAGTCTATAGTCTAGTCTATAGTCTGGTCTATAGTCTAGTCTATAGTCTAGTATATAGTCTAGTCTATAGTATAGTCTGTATAGTCTCTAGTCTAGTCTATAGTCTAGTCTATAGTCTAGTCTATAGTCTAGTCTATAGTCTAGTCTATAGTCTAGTCTATAGTCTAGTCTATAGTCTAGTCTATAGTCTAGTCTATAGTCTAGTCTATAGTCTAGTCTATAGTCTAGTCTATAGTCTAGTCTATAGTCTAGTCTATAGTCTAGTCTATAGTCTAGTCTATAGTCTAGTCTATAGTCTAGTCTATAGTTCTATAGTCTAGTCTATAGTCTAGTCTATAGTCTAGTCTATAGTCTAGTCTAGTCTATAGTCTAGTCTATAGTCTAGTCTATAGTTCTAGTCTATAGTCTAGCTATAGTCTAGTCTATAGTCTAGTCTATAGTCTAGTCTATAGTCTAGTCTATAGTTCTAGTCTATAGTCTAGTCTATAGTCTAGTCTATAGCTAGTCTATAGTCTAGTCTATAGTATAGTCTATAGTCTAGTCTATAGTCTAGTCTATAGTCTAGTCTATAGTCTAGTCTATAGTCTAGTCTATAGTCTAGTCTATAGTCTAGTCTATAGTCTAGTCTATAGTCTAGTCTATAGTCTAGTCTATAGTCTAGTCTATAGTCTAGTCTATAGTCTAGTCTATAGTCTAGTCGTCTATAGTCTAGTCTATAGTCTAGTCTATAGTCTAGTCTATAGTCTAGTCTATAGTCTAGTCTATAGTCCTAGTCTATAGTCTAGTCTATAGTAGTCTAGTCTATAGTCTAGTCTATAGTCTAGTCTCTAGTCTAGTCTATAGTCTAGTCTATAGTCTAGTCTATTAGTCTAGTCTATAGTCTAGTCTATAGTCTAGTCTATAGTCTAGTCTATAGTCTAGTCTATAGTCTAGTCTATAGTCTAGTCTATAGTCTAGTCTATAGTCTAGTCTATAGTTAGTCTATAGTCTAGTCTATAGTCTAGTCTATAGTCTAGTCTATAGTCTAGTCTATAGTCTGTCTAGTCTATAGTCTAGTCTATAGTCTAGTCTATAGTCTAGTCTATAGTCTAGTCTATAGTCTAGTCATAGTCTAGTCTATAGTCTAGTCTATAGTCTAGTCTATAGTCTAGTCTATAGTCTAGTCTATAGTCTAGTCTATAGTCTAGTCTATAGTCTAGTCTATAGTCTAGTCTATAGTCTAGTCTATAGTCTAGGTCTATAGTCTCGTCTATATTAGTCTAGTTAGTCTAGTCTTAGTCTAGTCTAGTCTATAGTCTAGTCTATAGTCTAGTCTATAGTCTAGTCTATAGTCTAGTCTATAGTCTAGTCTATAGTCTAGTCTATAGTCTAGTCTATAGTCTAGTCTATAGTCTAGTCTATAGTCTAGTCTATAGTCTAGTCTATAGTCTAGTCTATATTCGAGCCTATAGTCTAGTCTATAGTCTAGTCTATAGTCTAGTCTACAGTCTAGTCTATAGTCTAGTCTATAGTCTAGTCTATAGTCTAGTCTAAAGTCTAGTCTATAGTCTAGTCTATAGTCTAGTCTATAGTCTAATCTATAGTCTAGTCTATAGCCTAGTCTATAGTCTAGTCTATAGTCTAGTCTATAGTCTAGTCTATAGTCTAGTATATAGTCTAGTCTATAGTCTAGTCTATAGTCTAGTCTATAGTCTAGTCTATAGTCTAGTCTATAGTCTAGTCTATAGTCTAGTCTATAGTCTAGTCTATAGTCTAGTCTATAGTCTAGTCTATAGTCTAGTCTATTCTAGTCTAAGTCTAGTCTATAGTCTAGTCTATATCTAGTCTATAGTCTAGTCTATAGTTAGTCTACAGTCTAGTATAGTCTAGTCTATAGTCTAGTTCTAGTCTAGTCTATAGTCTAGTCTACAGTTAGTCTTAGTCTAGTCTAATCTAGTCTATAGTCTAGTCTATAGTCTAGTCTACAGTCTAGTCTATAGTCTAGTCTATAGTCTAGTCTATAGTCTAGTCTATAGTCTAGTCTATAGTCTAGTCTATAGTCTAGTCTATAGTCTAGTCTCTAGTCTAGTCTATAGTCTAGTCTATAGTCTAGTCTATAGTCTAGTCTATAGTTTAGTCTATAGTCTAGTCTATAGTCTAGTCTCTAGTCTAGTCTATAGTTTAGTCTATAGTCTAGTCTATAGTCTAGTCTATAGTCTAGTCTATAGTCTAGTCTATAGTCTAGTCTATAGTCTAGTCTATAGCTGTGAATGTTATCTAAAGTCTACAGCTGCAGATAGTTAACAACTATACCAATCAATTGCTAATAACTCCGCAATGTTCCTTTAACAAATTTCTTTTTTTATTTACAGCTTTCTGACCACCGAATGGGCTGGCAGTACCATAGAACTTAACTCCGATCTTCGAAGAAATGGTAAATATAACTATAACCCCTGATAACTTTAATCCCTATCATCTATATCCTTTTCTAAAATCATTCATACAGAAGTTGATACTTTTTACTATCGCCGTAAACCTTATCGTGTAATCGAAAAGAATGGTCGTGAGAATGTGTCATTTAAAAAGATTCCCGAAAAATCATGGCGTTATATAAGGGATTTTGTAACAACATTGGTAAGGTGGATCTTACCTCAGAGATTTTTAACATATACAACAACCACCACAACAACATCTTCATCGTCATCCACCATCACTGTAAATAATACAGCACAAATACCATTTAAATGTGATGATGAAAAATTAACAAGTGATAGTCAAATTTTAAAGGATACTGTACAAATTACAGAGAATAATAAAGATCGAGATGGGGAAAATAACAAAATTAGTGAAGTGAATGCAATTAGTGATAATGATGAAGTAGAGAGTAGTAGTATTAATAATAAGCGTGTTATATTTAGTTTATATGATTAATAAACTGAAACTAACCTTTATTAACAAATTAATTAACATAAAAATCATTAGTCTATCTTTAACCAAACTCTATGTTTAATATATTTTTTACTATTTTTAATCAATTAATTAATAAACTTTTTGTCATACCAATAATCTACTAATAATTAATAAAAAATTCATGTCCATGTGTCCAGTATATTTGAGTTTTATGTGGTTTTTTGATTTAAAGTTTTAAATATTTCTTTAATAGATTGAATTAGATTGGAAATATATGTTGACCATGTTTATTGGTAGTTATTTTCTAAGTTGGACATTTTTCGCTATACTCTGCTATATGGTGGCCTTTTCCCATGGCGATCTAATGTTTGACGAGGTCACGGGAGAACGTTTGGGTGAGGGCAAAGATCCCTGCATAATTGGTGTTTATGATTTTACTTCTATGTTTATATATTCGATTGAAACACAAACTACCATTGGTTTTGGTGAGAAGTACCCCAGTGAAGAGTGTCCGGAGACGATGTTTTTATTTATTTTACAAATTATCGTTTCTATTGCCATAGAAGGAGGTATGATAAGTATAATTTATGCTAAAACTGCTAGACCAGCTAAGCAATTAACTAAATTGAAATTTAGTGATAAGGCAGTGGTAAGTAATTGGGAATATTGAGTTTTATCACAATGTTGCTAAAATTTTCCCCAACAGATTTGTCATCGTGATGGTAAATTATGTTTACTATTTCGTGTCTGTGATCCCAGAGAGCAACAAACTATAGAATCGAAAATACGAGTCTATATGATCATCGATAAACCGTAAGTTGTACCATAACATATCAACCAAATATTAAATCCCCCTTCTTTCTCTCTCTCTCTCTTACCCAGCACCAAAGAAGGTGAATTGCTTAAAACTCATACCGAATTGAAATTGGAAAATAAAGGACAACAGATTATAGTATGGCCGGAAATTGTTTGTCATGTTATCGATGAAACCTCACCTCTGGCTCACTTCAAATGCGCCAAAGATGTCACGAATGCTCAGTTTGAATTGTATGTCAGTATTGTTGGTGTTTCGGCTGCCACTGCTCAAGTTACCGAAGCTAGAACCTCCTATGTACCGAGAGAAATCTTTTGGGGTCAACGTTTTATAAATATTATCAAATATGATAGTTTAAATGAACGTTATGTTATCGATTATGGTAATTTTAATACTACAATATCGGTAAGTTTAATATGCTTTAACTTTTGTAAATTTAACTTAAAAAGTAAAATTTTATTAAAAAGGTTGATATGACGACTCAGGATCTGGATAGGATAGAGGAAATTGAATAAACACAGTGAAATGATAATTGTTATACCAAAGATATATCCAAAAAATATCATTAGATGATATATATAATCTATAGTTTAAATGCCAATAAAAAGTATTATAGAGATATGCGATTATAAACCTAAAAAACATTAAAGTTTGTTAATATTGACTTTTTGGATTATTCATCTTTAAAATACGTAAGTATATGATAGGGACAGGAGAGTGAGACCACCCATCTATCAGTATTATAGGTTGATCTTTCTTAAAACTCCATGGCATCATCAACCAGACCTAGCTAACACTTATGTAAGAGCTATCCAGATATTTATAGGACTGGATAAGCTCAGAGTCTATAATTTGCCGCTGTTCTAGAATACTGAATATCAGGTTGAAATTTCTGATTTTTCTGGCGGATATTGCGGGACTTTACATTATTTAAAGGGAGATTTAGATTCTCTCACACTTCTTTGTTTTTTGATAATTATTTCGGGAAAACTTCTAGTATGAAATCCCTTAGAAATCGACCGGCTTCCGTTCTCTCTTCACTTTATGTTTTTTCTCTATCATTGATCTTCACTTTTTACGAAGGAAATCACAATGGACCTTATGGTCTCCGAATGGAGTTATACCATTTTAGATTGTATAATCCTTCTTAACATAACCTAAATCAGCAATTTCCAAGAACAGTCCCGAACTAGTTATTTAAACTACAACTTAGGGTCACCACGATCAGCTAGCTGAATAGTTATTTAAACATAGACATGTCCAAGGAGGAAGTCAGCAAGCACCCAGCAATTCGGGGGGGACAACATGGAACTAGCTGTTTAAAACATCAATAAAGTTTACCCCTAGCCGTAGACTACATGTGCTTGTCCAAGAAGGAAGTTAATCTCTAGATTACTTAGAGACGGAAAGGCAACAGTTTGTCTCTGCTACTGTTTACAAAGTGTCGACTGCCTTCACTCTCGCCGTTAGTGGAAATGACTTTATTTTTCGGGTACATTGACTATTTGTCGAACTGCTGGGAAGTCAATTAACTCTTGTTGACCAGAAATAGCAATTTAAACTACCACTTAGTGTTACTCCTATCTATCGACTGACTACCCAGTTGATTTGCTATTTTAACATGTACTTGATCTAGGAGGAAGTTAATAGTCATTCTATTGATTACAAAAATATTGTCAGAATGCTGGTCCAAAGGATTCAATGAATATTTTCCCTTAAATTTGTCTTTTAAGCTTCTACTCTATAGATTACTTGGGGACAGTAAAGGCACTACTTGTCTTCGCTCTTGCTTACAAAGGCGGCATTAAAGTGACAACTGTCACTCTAGAGTCAACCGTATCGTGACGGTTGTCTTCGTTTATCTAGTAAAGTGATGACTATCTTCGCTCTCGTACAGTAAAGTGTCAACAGTCTTCTCTCTCCACTACGCAAATTACATTGGAGACGAATAATCCAATATAGACAAATTATGGTCAACCTGGTGGTTAGACATTAATTGAAATGACTGTCATTTACGTGTACATTGGCACTTTGTCGAACTGCTGCGACACTTATGTATGTAATCAGAGAATTTAGCAAACATGTTGTTTAAGTGTGAGTGGAGTCTTGAGCACTTCGATGACCAAAGCTTTAGAGACATTACTGAACATTCCTCGATCGAAGCGCATGTAAGTTAAGAGGCATCATTCACAGCCGAGCTCTTGTCGTCTGTCGAAATGATCAAAGCCCGTTACAGGACAAGTGATCAATGTAAACTGGACATACCAGACTTTTATACACAAACAGCAAATATGTCCAATAGCATAGGGAAAACCGAAATTGTGAAACATTGGTCCCATATAGGAGATCGTAATAAAACAGAACATTGGAGCCAAGCTCTGCTGGAATCTGTTGTTACAGGGATGGTTCAAAACTAGGGGACATTGAATACCTGAAAACCGAAATATACGATTATCTTCCTAATTGATGTAAAATGAATTGGACAGAAGGCAATTGATAAGTTTTAATCTAAGAGCCATAATCAAATACTTTTCCAGTGGTAAGCTACAAATGTAACAGACCACTCGGGGATAATCAGACATAAAAGAGCAAATGTGTTTGCTAAAAGTTTGCGAAAGGTAGCTTGAGGAAGAGAACCTGATTAAACAGTTTGATGGAATTAAAAACATGGGCGAGGAAATACCATACGGTAACTTGAAATGATGAACTGAGAACAGGACCCCAAGGAGAGGAAAACGAGAATCATCCTCAGAAAGGAACCTAAAAACATAAAGTTTCTTCAAATAAAATAAAAACCCAAATTATTTTCATATAAAATTTTATTTAAAAAAACAGAGCAAATTTCAAATAAGTAAGAATTTTTCAACTGTAAAGAATTTCAAATTCCTTTAACAATTGTAAAATTCTTAAATTACAAATAAATACAATTTAAAACAAAAGCAAAACAAAACTAATTAATTAAAGAAAAAGTAATAAATAAAATTGTTGAAACATTAATCCTTTATAAATTGTTGCAATTGTTTCTTCAACAATTCATTTTCTTCCTTCAGTCTTAAAAACTCATTAACAAAGGGATCTGTCTGCAATAGAATACCCAAACAGTCACGTATTTCTTCAGTTTGTTCGGCACGTTGATTCCATAGATTAAAATTGTGCGTAAATATTTGCCATTTATTATTTTCAGCTAAAAATTTCATTTCAAATTCCAATTTATCGAAACGTTGTAACATTTCGGAGCGTAAATCCGAAATAGCTTGCTGAACATCATTAGGAGCACTGGTTACCTTAACTTGGGGTAAAGGTTTCTTGGTAGCTGTGGAAGTGACGGGTTGTATTTGGGTAGGCTTATTAGAGGTCAATATGCTTTCCATGGAGGTCCTGTCACGGCGTGGTGTACTATTAAAATCAACTGCCAAAGGCTTTAGACGTGTTTGTACAAAATCTAAATCCATTTGGGGATTCTCTTTATCACTGTCTGAGGTAAGATTTTGACTGGAAGTTTCCAAAGTCTCCTGCAAACATTTTTCCTCTTCCATTATTTGGGTTAGTTTACCGGTGACGGGAGTATGTTGTGGCGTATTGCTACGTTCTCTAAGGGGAATTTTTATAACATCCGATGAATTCATTTTCGTATCAAACGAATCATTTTGTGTGGCCGAAGTATTAGAAGGTACAGCACTAAGACCAATAAAAGACATGCGATTATCATCTGTCACGGGTTTTCGTGAAAGTGCATCCCAATCAAAACTATCTCTGCGTGGAGCAAATCTGGGTGATAATTTCTCTTGACCACGATTTGCCTGAAAATCGAGAAAATCACAAAATGAATCACGATGAGCTCTAGTATTCTCTGTTGCTACCAAGAGATTTGAGGCTATAGATTTACGCAACTCTGTACCGCCAACTCCACCACCACTGCCCGTAGGCAAGGCCATTACAGAGTGTTCGGCTCCCACACCAGAACTAGAAAAACTAGTGCTATTATCAGCTGCCACCGGCGCAAAGGCCACACGTGTTACACCACAATCATGAATCTTTTTCGACGCCAAAAACACTTTTGTATTACGCATATCATAAGTGGTAAGTTCGCCTTTTAGATTGCCCACACAAAAGTAAGTACCACATTCACTAGCCGCCACAGTTGACAAAGGATGACAATAGATCAATTGTACTGGTTTAACTTTACGTCTTGTATCGAATATATTTATGACACAATCATAACCTACACTTATTAAGGTATCGGGATTAGCAGGAGACATACATAAATCTCGACATTGTGCTCCATGAGCATCGGTAGCATGAAATAATTTACGTTTCGAATGAACGTCATAGATAGTTACAGCTCCTTTATAGGAGGCTATAGATAATTGAAAACGTTTAGTGGGATGAAAACGTGCCAATGTTGAACTGGAAGAGGTGGAAGTTGTTTAAGAGAGATAAATATTGTTATAGTTTGTAGTCTGTGGACTAGTGCAGGAAGATTTTTTTGAGAAATTTATATTAAAAACTACTCAAACTGCTGAAACTTAAAAATTTACAAGCTTGAACCAAAACTTATCTCTACATATTAATTGTAAAAGATTGACTTTCCCCAAAGGATGCATTAACATTATCATATTGTTTAAAAGCGGATTTTATAATTTCTCTTTTTTACTTTTTTGAAAATGTTTTTAAATTTGCGTGAGTTTTCAAAGAAAAAAGATTACTAATAAATTAGATACAAATCTATAATTAGGAAATCATATTGTTTTAATCTATCCCCTTACAATTAAATATCACCAAATCATTTCACTTTTAATAAGAATCTTTTCTAATTTAAATATTTTTTAAAAAATTTCACTTACTTGCCATCTATGTTGAAAGAATCAATTTTTGTTTTTGTTCGGTGGCCATATATGTTAATGGAACCATTTTCAAATACTGAAGCTATATACTCATCTGAAGCATTATAATCCAAATATAAAACAGAATTACGATTAGAATCTGAAATAAAATAAAATTCATTTAATAAAGCGATTGAATCTAGTTAGACTGATCTATAGTCAAGACTATAGACTGATCTATAGTCAATACTATAGACTGATCTATAGTCAATACTATAGACTGATCAATATTCAAGACTATAGACCGATCTAACACTATAGACTGATCTATAGTCAAGACTATAGACTGATCCATAGTCAAGACTATTGACAGATCTAAAGTCAAGACTATAGACTGATCTATAGTCAAGACTATAGGCTGATCTATAGCCAGGAATGTAGTCTGATCTATAGTCAAGATATAGACTGATCTATAGTCAAGACTATAGACTGATCTATAGACAATACTATAGACTGATCAATATTCAAGACTATAGACCAATCTAACACTATAGACTGATCTATATTCAAGACTATAGACTGATCTATAGTCAAGACTATTGACAGATCTAACACTATAGACTGATCTATATTCAAGACTATAGACTGATCTATAGTCAAGACTATTGACAGATCTAAAGTCAAGACTATAGACTGATCTATAGTCAAGACTATAGGCTGATCTATAGCCAGGAATGTAGTCTGATCTATAGTCAAGACTATAGACTGATCTATAGACAATACTATAGACTGATCTATAGTCAATACTATAGACTGATCAATATTCAAGACTATAGACCAATCTAACACTATAGACTGATCTATATTCAAGACTATAGACTGATCTATAGTCAAGACTATTGACAGATCTAACACTATAGACTGATCTATATTCAAGACTATAGGCTGATCTATAGTCAAGACTATAGGCTGATCTATAGCCAGGAATGTAGTCTGATCTATAGTCAAGACTATAGACTGATCTATAGTCAATACTATAGACTGATCAATATTCAAGACTATAGACCGATCTAACACTATAGACTGATCTACATTCAAGACTATAGACTGATCTATAGTCAAGACTATTGACAGATCTAAAGTCAAGACTATAGACTGATCTATAGTCAAGACTATAGGCTGATCTATAGCCAGGAATGTAGTCTGATCTATAGTCAAGATATAGACTGATCTATAGTCAAGACTATAGACTGATCTATAGACAATACTATAGACTGATCAATATTCAAGACTATAGACCAATCTAACACTATAGACTGATCTATATTCAAGACTATAGACTGATCTATAGTCAAGACTATTGACAGATCTAACACTATAGACTGATCTATATTCAAGACTATAGACTGATCTATAGTCAAGACTATTGACAGATCTAAAGTCAAGACTATAGACTGATCTATAGTCAAGACTATAGGCTGATCTATAGCCAGGAATGTAGTCTGATCTATAGTCAAGACTATAGACTGATCTATAGACAATACTATAGACTGATCTATAGTCAATACTATAGACTGATCAATATTCAAGACTATAGACCGATCTAACACTATAGACTGATCTATATTCAAGACTATAGACTGATCTATAATCAAGACTATTGACAGATCTAAAGTCAAGACTATAGACTGATCTATAGTCAAGACTATAGGCTGATCTATAGCCAGGAATGTAGTCTGATCTATAGTCAAGATATAGACTGATCTATAGTCAAGATATAGACTGATCTATAGACAATACTATAGACTGATCAATATTCAAGACTATAGACCAATCTAACACTATAGACTGATCTATATTCTAGACTATAGACTGATCTATAGTCAAGACTATTGACAGATCTAACACTATAGACTGATCTATATTCAAGACTATAGACTGATCTATAGTCAAGACTATTGACAGATCTAAAGTCAAGACTATAGACTGATCTATAGTCAAGACTATAGGCTGATCTATAGCCAGGAATGTAGTCTGATCTATAGTCAAGATATAGACTGATCTATAGTCGAGACTATAGACTGATCTATAGTCAATACTATAGACTGATCAATATTCAAGACTATAGACCAATCTAACACTATAGACTGATCTATATTCAAGACTATAGACTGATCTATAGTCAAGACTATTGACAGATCTAACGCTATAGACTGATCTATATTCAAGACTATAGACTGATCTATAGTCAAGACTATTGACAGATCTAAAGTCAAGACTATAGACTGATCTATAGTCAAGACTATAGGCTGATCTATAGCCAGGAATGTAGTCTGATCTATAGTCAAGATATAGACTGTTCTATAGTCAAGACTATAGACTGATCTATAGTCAATACTATGGACGATCTACATATAGTAAAAATATAGACTTTTGACCATAAATAGATTTTTGAAGGAAAATAAGAGATCACTTAATAATAACTTCAAACAAATGACTGGCCAATAGCCCTAATCATAATAAAGAATATGCACTTTTTATCTATACTATTGAATGCCAATTAATATTTCTGTAAAATAACTTACCTGCATTAAACTTATGTATAAACTCTGATTTTTTATAATTATACAATTTAACTTGACCATTAGCTAAACCAACAGCCATCTCTTCCAGGGACTGTTTGGCACAGGCCACACAATAAACATTATCAATGGTTAGTTTACGCACACGCTGGATATCGGCTTCTATTAATTAAATAAAATTATTAACAATTTAATTCACTCTACCACAAAATCTTTCTTACTTTGAGCCTTTTCCTTTATGCGCATTATTTCTAAACCGGATTTTTTATTAACCTCCACAAAGATGCGCTGTTGGGCATAAAATTGAAAATCTGTTGTCTCACCATTGGAATGTTGATAAATGGATTTAGTTTCCAAATCATTAAAATCCGTTAAGACCGTAGTCTTAGCTGTTGATATTAAATACATTTTTTTGGAAAGTTTTTCACACTTTTTGAATAGCAATTAAAAAAAAAAGCTTGAAAAAATTTCCTGGCGCTTCTTCAGTTGAAATTTTTCTTTTGACATTTGTTTAAATTTTCCAATTAGAGAGACAGAGTGAGAAAATGAATTTGCAGGGTTGTTTTAAAAAGTATGAATAGTGTTGGTAAATGGTTTATTTTATATCTATGAAAAATATATAAAAATGAAAAGTATTTACAGTAGGGTTCTATAAATCGACTTTTTGTCGAAAAAAGTCGAAAAGTCGAAGTCGACTATTTTGTTCCAAAAAAGTCGATAACTCGACTATCGTCTATGAAAAAAGTCGAAAAGTCGACTTTGTAAATAAAAGTCGAAAAAAGTCGAAATGTCGAAAAAAGTCGAAAAGTCGAAAAAAGTCGAAAAAAGTCGAAGAAAGTCGAAGAAAGTCGAAGAAAGTCGAAAAAAGTCGAAAAGTCGAAAAAAGTCGAAAAGTCGGAAAAAGTCGAAAAGTCGGAAAAAGTCGAAAAATCGAAAAAAGTCGAAAATAGTCGAATATTTTAAAAAAGTGGAATAGGTCAAAAACTCTAAAATAGTCGGAAAAACTCGAAAAAAGTAAAAAATAGTCGAAAAAAGTCGAAAATAGTCAAAAAGTAAAAAATCGAAAAGTCGGAAAAAGTCGAAAAGTTGAAAAAAGTCGGAAAAAGTCGAAAAAAGTCGAAAAGTCGAAAAAAGTCGGAAAAAGTCGACCATTTATAAAATACTAAAAGTCGAAAAGTCTAAAAGTCGACTTTTAAATAAATGAAAAAGGTCGACTATTTATACAAAAATTGTCGATAAGTCGATTATCTTCAAGAAAAATGTAGTATTTTGATATTACATTTTACAACTATGAAGATTTTTGACAAGAAAAAATTTTAAAAAGTAAAAACAAAACAAAACTACAGTAATGGACAAAAATGTTAATAAATAATGGTGTAAACAAAAAAATTATATAAATAAGCCCGTTTTTTACTATTTTATGAATCTGAATCTACTTTTACTAGTAAATCGACTTTTATGAAACATTAAATTTTGTTATATCTATTCTCGAGAGGTTTTTAAACCTAGATCCCTTCCGGTTTACTCCCACTTTTTGTAAGGAGTTAATCTACAATACTATTTCTAATGTAACACAGACAAAAAGTAGCGAAACTACTAGTGAAATTTGCTTCTCCTCTTAGTTTATTCACAGAATATAGCAAAATGTCGGACACAAACAATTCGTCATTTTTACATATTTTTAACAATGACTTGCTATCATCACTTTTGCTCCACACTGTACATTTAACACATACATATTTCGTTCATTGCCTCCCCTACATTGTTTACATAACCTTACAAACTTTGGTGATTAAATATATCTTTAATATATATATATTTTTTAATTATAAACTAAAAATGAATAACAAGTGTGTAAAATATATTCTACATTATATTTCGCTATAGAAAACAGTCCATTTTATTCCTTCTTGGTATCTTTACCATCATTAGCTTCGGCTTCCTTTAGCAATAAAGATTCAATGCCGACCTTTTTAAGTTCTTCAATTAAGTCGCCGCTTTGATGCATTTGCAATAGAATATCACAACCTCCGACAAATTCACCATTAATGAAAACCTGGGGAATGGTAGGCCATTCAGTGAAATCTTTAATGTCTGTAAAGGAACAAAAACAAAACGAAAATTAAACCACATTTTTCCTTCAACTTTTTTGTAACACTTACTTTGTCTTAATTCATCGCTGGCCAAAACATCATGGGCATCATATTGCACACCATGCATACGCAAGATTTGCACTACAGCATTACTGAAACCACAACGTGGAGCTTCAGGATTTCCCTTCATAAAGACCACAACTTTATTGGTGTTTACTAGCTGCTTCAGAATTTCCTTGCTGTAAGTTTGTGGTGCTCCACCTTCGGCTGAGAAAAGTCTGTTAGACTGTATCCATAGGTTGGCGGAGCGATAAACATTTGGTTTCAATAGTTGTCTAATTAAACTGGCCATATTTGTTTGAGTTTTGTTTCAATTTTTCTAAAAATTTAAAATTTTTTTGTTCACAATTGGAATTTCAACACGTAACTTCTCTCACACTACTTGCTCTCTCTCGTTTGCCGTGTATATTTTTGACAGCCAAAAAAATAAAAACAAAGAAAAAATTCAAATAGAAGAAGACAAATAATAACAAACCAGAGTTATAAAGAAAAGTATTATTTTTTTAAATAAAATTTCCTTTTAAACAAAAACTAAAAAATTAAAATAAATTAATTTTTAAATTATTAACAATTTTAACAAAAAAGAAAAAACTTTGTTTATTTAGTTATTGCTTAATTATTTCGTTTATAATTTTGGATTTTTACTTGCTTTTTTAGTACTAGAAGTACTACTACCCTTTAGTACAACACTGTTAATGACACTTTTTTCTTCGTCGTGGAATGTCAAAAAATCATTGAAAGAAAAACACGAATAATTACCAAAAAAATTAAAGAAAAAATTTGTGGATATTACTGCAAAATATTTCCAAAAATATGTGTTTTATTTAAAAAAAAATTAAAGCAAATTCAATAAAAAATTAAGAAAATATTGTTTAGTTGTGATTTTTAATAAAATATATGTAAAATTGTGTGTGCTTGTTAATCTATAAATATTAACGACGAAAGCAAGTTAAAAAACAAAAAAAAAAAATTAAGAAAAAAAGATAAAATTGCAACACCATCATTGAAAACCAATACCAGTAAAAGGAAAAAGTAAAAAAAAAACTAATTGTAATAGTAAAAAAAAGTTAAAATTTATCAAAAAAAACAACTAATTGTGTAAAAAATTCTAAAACGAACAGCAATAAGAAAATTAATTTCTAAACAATGAATCGTACTGATGGCTTAGTAAGACGTGCCGTACGTCCTAGAGAAAATGGTGCCGAAGGTGGTGGCAGTGCATCCGGTAATGCTAATACACCCGAGGATAATCCCGATATGTTGGATAATAAAGATCAAGAGGATAACATAGATGATGGCGATTCCAAAGAGACACGTTTAACATTAATGGAAGAGGTGTTACTATTGGGTTTAAAAGATAAAGAGGTTAGTTTTTTAAGAAAAATTTATGCAAATTTCTTAAAATTTATTAAAAATCTTGTTTTGTTTTTAAATTATTCGTTAGAACAACAATTTTGTTAAAACCATCTCTATTCCCATCAACATTGTCATCTTCCACATCATCTTTTATTTGATTGTTTTTGTTTGTTGTTCAATTCTTCTTACATATTTTTTTTTTTGCTGTTGTCGTTGTTGTAGTTTTATTTGTTTTTCTTGTTTCTTTCATTTTAGCATTTTAATTGAATTTCTTTACATTATCATTTGTACTACTAGTCAACAGCAAAATAAAAAAAGTCTTGTTTTGATGACGTTGTTGTATATTTGATGTACATTTTTTTGTTGGCTTTTCTTTAAATTCTCTTATCAATCTCATCTGTGTCAGCACTACTTACTTACTCACTCCCTAAGTCATTCACATCCAACAAAGGCCTTCATTGTCAATCTTAAGGTTTTGTTTTTTTCTACTTATTTTAACTTTTGTTTAATTAATAATAACAATAAGATAAATATAATTACGTTTTTAGCATTCTAATTAAATGCAATGAAAAACCTTGACTTATTTGGAGATAAGTTGTTTATACCCGTCATTGTTTGGGGTTTGAAACAGGTGTTAGAGGGAAAGTTTAAATGATTATAGATATTCAGAACTTTTAGCTGAAAAAAGTTTTGGATTAAAAACCATTCTATTGAATACCTTTTAGGTCAAAACCTTTTTTATCACTTTTCTTTTACGATCAAACACCTTTCTAACGAAAACATGGATCAAAAACATTCCATCGAACATTTTTTCTTGATTCAATAACAAGCTTTTCTTGTTATTGAATCCAAAATAATAAGAATTACATTTTTTTGGGATCAAAAAACTTTAGGAACTTTTCTTATCAAAAAGTTTTCTTATTGGATCAAAAGCTTTTCTTAACAAAAACTTTTCTTATTGGATCAAAAGTTTTTTTCAAATAGTTTGTCATCAAACTTTTGCCAAACTTTATCATAATATTTAAACACATTTTTCAACAAAAAATATCCGGAAATTCAAAAGACATCTTAAAATATATTTAAATCTTAACCACAACTTTTTTGTTTAAATTTTTCATTAAATAGCTCTGATGGTTTTGTAAAATACAAATAATTTTTTTTATCGCAAAACAAATATAAAAACGTTTATATATAAATAAAAGAAATAAAACTACAATTGACTAAAATATGAAATTGATAACAATACTATTTATATGGTGAATTTTCTGTTTTTATTGTTATTTTTCAATTTAGGCAAGAGTGTCACACAATCATTATATTACTACTTCAATAATCCAACAGTTTAGTTCAAACAAAGCACAATACTATACAATATGTAGACATTTTTTTCGTTGTATGCCACTTTCCGGTTTATTAATCATGAGAATCATAATAATCAAATGATATACATATACAAAAAATAAAAAAAGGGATTTACTTTTGGTGTGTAAATTAAAAAAGTAAATATTAAATATTTTTATAAAGTTAAAAGCAGCTGTAAATTTAAGGATTTTTATACGATATGTGTTAAACTGTAAAAAGTTACCGATAAGCTTTCAGGAACTATTCTATGGAAAACTTTTTTGCATCAAAAACGTTTGTAACCAAAAACTGTTAATATAGATATTTATTCTACCTAAAACTGTTCGAATCGTAAACTTTTCTACTGAAAACTTTTTCCATCAAAAGCTTTTCTATTGAATATTTTTGTAATCAAAATTTTTATATTAAATATTGTTTGAAACAAATACGATAGGAGTTAATCTGTAAATAGTTACCGAAAAAGCCTTCAGGAACTATTATATGGAAGGAAAACTTTTTGGATCAACAACTTTTCTAACCAAAAACTGATACAATTGAAATTGTATTTTCTATGTTTTTACTTCAAAAGCTTCCCTATTAAATATTTATTTAAACAAAACTTTTATATCAAATATTGTTTAATAGAAAAGTTCCAGATTCAAAAAACTTTCAAACGCAAACTATTTGTATCAGAAACTTTTCTCTTGAAAGCTTTTTGAATCAAAAGCGTTTCTATTGAAAGTTTGTTGAATCTGGAACTTTTCTATTAAAAAGTTATAGATCTCTATCAAAAGTTTTTTAATTGAAAACTTTCTATCGAAAACTTTTTTATTGAAAACTTTCTATCGAAAACTTTTTATTGAAAACTTTTTATCGAAAGCTATTTATATCAAAAATTTTTTTTATAAAATATTTTTTAACAAAAATTTTTTTATCTTCAACTTTTTGCATTAAAGGCTTTTCTATAAAAAGCTTCTTGGGTTAAAGCTCTTCTATATAAAGCATTTTTCATTAAAAGTTTTGCTATATAAAGCTTTTTCATTAAAAACTTTTCTTTAGAAAGCTTTTTTCATTAAAAACTTTTCTTTAGAAAGTTTTTTTTTTTTCATTAAAAACGTTTTTTTAGAAAGCATTTTTGGTTAAAGCTCTTCTATATAAAGCATTTTTCATTAAAAGTTTTGCTATATAAACTTTTCTTTAGAAAGCTTTTTTCATTAAAAACTTTTCTTTAGAATGCTTTTTTCATTAAAAACGTTTCTTTAGAAAGCATTTTTCAATAAAAGGTTTTTTATGGACAATTTCTTGCATAAAAAACTTTTTTATATAAAAAATTTTGCATTAAAAGTTTTTTTTTTAAATTTTCTATTAAAAAAATTTTTAAAAAAACTTTTTGCATAAAAAGTTTTCTATTGAAATATTTTCTGTTGAAAATCTTTTCTTTTAAAAACTTTTCTACTGAAAACTTTTTTATCGAAAACTTTTCTATTAAAATATTTTCTGTAGAGAACTTTTAAAAACTTTTCTACCGAAAACTTTTCTATTGAAATCTTTTCTTTCGGAAGCTTTTCTTTAAAAAACTTTTGTATTGAAAACTTTTCTTTCGGCAACTCTTCTATTAAAAACTTATTTTTTAAAAACTTTTGTATTGAAAACTTTCCTTTTGAATACTTTTCTATTGAAATCTTTTCTATAGAAAAAAAATTTTTGCATAAAAAGTTTTCTATTGAAATATTTTCTGTCGAAAATCTTTTCTTTTAAAAATGTTTCTACTGAAAACTTTTTTATCGAAAACTTTTCTATTGAAATATTTTCTGAAGAGAACTTTTAAAAGAAAACTTTTCTCTTGAAAACCTTTCTATTGAAATCTTTTCATTCGGAAACTTTTCTTTTAAAAACTTTTGTATTGAAAACTTTTCTTTCGGCAACTCTTCTATTAAAGAACTTTTCTTTTAAAAACTTTTGTATTGAAAACTTTTCTTTTGAATACTTTTCTATTGAAATCTTTTCTATAGAATACTTTTCTATTGAAAACTTTTCCATAGAAATCTTTTCTATTGGAAACTTTTCTATTTAAAACTACTCTATTGAAAGCTTTTCTACAGAAAAACGTTTTATTGTAAGGTTTTTTTTATCGAAAATTCTTCTATTAAAAGATTCTTGAAAGCTTTTTGTTCTTAAAATGTTCTGTTGTCTAGAGAAAACAACTTTTATTAAAAAAAAAACATTACATTTTGTTTTATCTTTAACTTTTTTTAATTAAATTTCATTAGTTATTATCAGCTGCTTCATTTTATTTAAACTCTTTAATATTACCTCAAAACATGGTAAATTTTTTTCTTAATTTTTTATTATTATTTTTTAACCTTCAAGTTTTTTATTTGATTTTTTTTTAACTTTTAGTACTATTGACTCATATTTTCTTTTATATTACCAATCTTTATCTTAAGTGTTTCTTTTAATATACATATATGTATGTATATGTATGTACGTGCAACTTTTAACATATTTTTGTTATCAGTTTTTAATTTAGTAAATGAGTCTTAATAGTAAAACGCATTGTAAAATTGGGTAGAAATTTAATTTATAATAAATATACAATTTCTCCATATGATTGCTATAGTTACTAAAGAATTAGGAAAAATTAGCAAGAAAACACACATTTAATGTGCTTTAGTTAAACAAGTCCAGCTTAGTTTGTAATTTAAATAGATATTTGTTAACGAAACTTTAGCTTAATACTTCTATGGCAACAAAAAGAGTTACGCTTAGCTTTAGGTATACTTGTAAAAAACACTTGTCATCTGTGTGTACATACATACATACATACACATGTATATATAGCCAATATGCATGAAAGACAATTTAAACGCCACATTTTAAGTCAAAAACATAATTAAAGAGAGATGTGCTTTTTATTTCCTGCGTATGCTTTAATTCAAAGAAATTATTTTATTTTCTTACGTTAATATCAACACAAACATTAGAACAAGAAACACTTGTATTAACAGAGAAAATAATTCAAACATTACCACTGACATCATTCCTGAAAGTTAAAAGTTCTATTTTTAAACAATTTTTACTTCTTTGTATAATTTTTTATCTAAATGTGTTGCAAACAAACATTTTATTTGGAAAACTTCTGTTTGAATCAAACATTTTAAATCTAAACTTTTTGAAACCAAACTTTTCTTTGAGAAGTTTTAAAATTTAAAGCTTTTGAATCAATAACTTTATGAATCAAAAACTTTAATACTAAAAACTTTTTAAGTCAAAAACTATTCTATTGGAAACTTTTCTATTGAAAGTTCTTTACATTAAAAACGTTTCTATCAAAAGTCTTTTCTATTGAACATTTTTTCAATCAAATACTTTTCTTAAAATAAAATTAGTAATAAAAAGTTTCTGAAGCTTTTGAGATCAAAAACTATTTATATCAAAACTTTTTCTTTGCATTTTTTTAAATCGAAAACTTTTTGTATTCAAAAATTTTATTTCTAAAACTTTCTGCATCAATATAATTTCTAGCGAAAACATTTTAAAACAAAAGATTTTTTATTGAGTTTTTGTCTACACCAAAAGCTTACAAATCGAAAAGTTTTAGCATCGAAATTTTTTGTATTGAAATAGTTTTCCCACAAAAGTTTTTTTTGTTAGCAGACTACATTAAAAGCTTTCCTTTAAATAATCTTTACATTAAAAGATCTTCTAAAGAAATCTTTTTGTATTAATAACTTTTATTACTAAAACTTTCTACATCGATATCATTTCTAGCGGAAACTAAAAGCTTTTTTATTGAGTTTATTTTTTCCTAAAAAGCTTACCAAAGCTCATCGTAAGCTTTTGTATTGAAATTATTTTCCCACAAAAGTTCTTTTTATAGACAACTGCATAAATAGCTTTTCTATTATTAATCTTTGCATAAAAAAACTTGTTGCATTAAAAGCTCTTCTATAGAGAACTTTTTGCTTCAAAGTTTTATTATAGAATAATTTTTTCATCAAAATCTTTTTTACCGAAATTTTTTATCAATAGAAATTTATTGCATAAAAAGCTATTTTCTGTATAGAACTTATGAAATATATATTAAAGCTTTTCTATTGAAATCTTTATGCATTAAAACTTTTCTATAGTTTTTTTTTAATGCTTTTCTATAGAAAACTTTTTGCATTAAAAGCTTTTTTATTAAAATATGTTCTATAGAAATCTTATTAGGAAACTTTTTACATTAAAAACTTTTTTATAAAAAGCTTTTTGCAAGAAAAGCTTTAAATAAAGCTTTTTGCAATAAAAGCTTTAAATAAAGCTTTTTGCAATAAAAGCTTTAAATAAAGCCTTTTTGCATTAAAAGCTTTTTTTGTATTAAAAGCTTTATATAAAAAAGTCTTTTGCATTAAAAGCTTTTTAGAGAAAGCTTATTGCATTCAAAACTTTTATGTAGAAAGCTTATTGCGTTTAAAACTCTTTGGATAAAAAGCTTTTCTATAGAAAATGTCTTGTATTACAAGATTTTCTGTAGAAATATTTTTACATTAAAAGCTTTTTATAGAAAGCTTATTGCATTAAAAACTTTTGTATAGACAACTTTGGGTCTGTTCAATAACTAAAAGTTGTTACTAATTTTCACAAAAATATTTCAAATTTGTATTGAAATACAAAAACAATTTATGATAATTTGTAACAATTATTTGTTATTGAACATACATTTTTTTAATTAAAAGCTTTCCTATAGAAAACTTTTTATACTAAAACTTTTCTGTAGAAAACTTTTTGTATTAAAAGCTTTTCTGTAGAAATCTTTTTACATTAAAAGCTTTTCTATAGAAAACTTATTGCATATAAAGCTTTTATTTAGAAAACTTCTTGTATTAAATGCTTTTTTATAAAAAACATTTTGCATTAAGAAAACTTTGATTCTTTTCTATAGAAAACTTTAAGCTTTGCTATAGAAAACTTTTTTATTAAAATATATTCTATAGAAAGCTTATTAGGAAACTTTAAAAGCTTTTTGCATTAAAAGCTTTTTATAGAAAGCTTATTGAAAACTTTTTTGTAGAAAGCTTATTGCGTTCAAAACTAATCTATAGAAAACTCTTTGCATTAAAAGCTTTTCTATAGAAAACGTCTTGTATTTCAAGCTTTTTTGTAAAAATCTTTTTCCATTAAAAGCTTTTTTATAGAAAACTTTTTGTATTAAAAGCTTTTCTATAGAAAATTGTTTGTATTAAAAGCATTTCTATAGGAAACTTTTTATATTAAAAGCTTTTCTATATAAAACTGTTTGTATTAAAAGCTTTTCTATAGAAAATTTTTTTTTATTAAAAGGTTTTCTATAGAAACTTTTTTGTAATTAAAGCTTTTCTGCAGAAATCTTTTTACATTAAAAGCTTTTTTATAGAAAGTTTTAATATAGAAAGCTTATTAAATTAAAAGCTTTCTTATATAGAAAACTTTCTGCATTTAAAGCCTTTTTTTATAGAAAACTTTTTTGCCTCAAAAGCTTTTTTGTTATTATTTTAAAAACATATAATGTATGCGTATATCTTTCAGGGATACACATCTTTTTGGAATGACTGCATATCAAGCGGCCTACGTGGCTGTATACTCATTGAACTTGGCATACGCGGACGTATTATGATGGAAAAGTCTGGTATGCGCAGACGTGGATTGTGTTCAAGGTGAATCTTTTGCAAAAATCCATTACATATGAATAAAACTATTCAAAAATTCAATTACAGAAAAGTCATATTAAAATCAGATCAACCAACTGGAGATGTTCTATTAGACGAGGCTTTAAAGCACATTAAAGAAACAAAACCACCAGAAACAGTTCAAAGTTGGATTGAATATTTAAGTGGTAAGTAACAGACATGTAACAAATATTAAATGACTTGTTAATGAAATAAACTAATTAAGGTGAAACTTGGAATCCTTTAAAATTACGCTATCAATTGAAAAATGTACGAGAACGTTTGGCTAAGAATCTGGTTGAAAAGGGTGTCTTAACAACAGAAAAACAAAATTTCTTATTGTTCGATATGACAACACATCCTTTAAATGATAATGTGGTTAAATGTCGTTTAGTTAGAAAGGTAAAGAGGGCATTAATTTTTTTTAAATAAATTCCTATTAAAATGAGTGTGTTAAATATTATGTTCCAGATACAAGATTCTGTTTTGTCCAAATGGGTCAATGATCCCCAACGCATGGATAAACGTATGTTGGCACTGATATTTTTGGCTCATGCCAGTGATGTTATAGAAAATGCTTTTGCTCCCCTTAACGATGACGACTACGAAGTGGCTATGAAACGTGTGCGAGAATTATTGGATTTAGATTTTGAGGCCGAAGCGGCCAAACCCAATGCCAATGAAATTCTCTGGGCAGTTTTTATGGCTTTCACTAAATAAAATCTATTATTTTAACTAAGTAATTTTTAAAATAATTATTATTTTTATTAAAAACTTTTATTTTTGTTTTAATTTAAACAGAAATAATAAATCTATATATAAATATATTTTCCAGAAAGTTATAAAGAAAAAAAAAAATTAATAAAACCACAAAATCAAATGCCACATTAATTAAAGCTCTAAAAATACTGTTTATTTCTTAAATTTTGTATTTAAACGAAAAAATAGCAACAATTAAATGATTTATACAAATTTTAAATTGTGAAAAGAAAAACAAAAAAATCACTAAAATCTAATTAAAAAATGTATTATTTTTTTTAAAAGTAAGTTTTTAATTTCCATTAAAATTCTAAATTTTATATATTTAAAATTTATAATTAATAAAAATATTCATTATTTTATTAAAAAAAAATCTATAAACAAAATGCCACAAGGATTAATTTTTAAAATTTTCTATTTTAAAGCAATATAAATTCGGAAAATTTTTAAGAAATCCTTAGCATCATTCTTCTTTTTTTCTTGTTTTTATAATCTAAAAAAAAAAATTAACAAAAAAATATTGTACAGTTTTTTAAAAAAATGTTTAATTGTAACTAACAAAAAGTAAATCTAAAGAAAAAATTATTATAACAAAAAAATCCATATTGTAACTTAAGAAAAAAAAAAAACAAAAAAAAAAAACTCTACTACTTATCAACAAGTAACTATTATTAAATTTTTATTTCAATTAGATCTTTTGTTCTCATTAACCTAATAACACTGCTAAATATGCAATTAATAGTCATCTAAAAAGTTTTTTATTCAATGTTCAATTTATTGCCTTAAACATTTTTTTTAATATAAATAGAAAACATAAAAATTTTACAATTTGTTTCTTTTGTTTAGAAAGAAAATATTTTCAATTCGTTTTGTAAGCTTTAATTTAAATTTAAAATAAATATTTGAAAAGTATAAAATTATCACACACAATAAAAACATTTTTTACATCAAAATTTTATATCATAAAGCTTTTCTATAAAAAGCTATTATTTCAAAAACCTTTTTGATACAAAATTAAATCAAAAAGCTTTTTGCGCCAAAAGTTTTCCAAAGAAAAGCTTTTGCGCCAAAAGTTTTCTATAGAAAAGCTTTTGCGCCAAAAGTTTTCTATAAAAAAGCTTTTGCGCCAAAAGTTTTCTATAGAAAAGCTTTATTGCAAAAAGTTTTCTAAAGAAGAGCTTTTAATGCAAAATTTTTTTCATAGGAAAGCTTTTGTGTCAAAAAGATTTTTAAAGAAAAACTTTTAATGCAAAAATTTTTCTATAGAAAAGCTTTTGAGTCAAAAGCTTTTATGCTTAAAAGTTTTCTATAGAAAAGCTTTTAATACAAACATTTTCTAAAGAAGAGTTTTTAATGCAAAAACTTTTCTATAGAAAGATTTTAATTAAAAAATTTTCCATAGAAAAGCTTTTAATACAAAACAATTTCTATAGAAAAGCTTTTCTGTCAAAGAGTTTTCTATAGAAAAGCTTTTGTGTCAAAAAGTTTTTTCATAGAAAGCTATTGTGTCAAAAAGTTTTCTATAGAAAAGCTTTTGTGTCAAAAAGTCGTCTAGAAGTTGAAGAAGAAGAGCTTTTAATGCAAAAAGTTTTCTATATAAAGATTTTAATGAAACAATTTTCTATAGAAAAGTTTTTAGTACAAAAAGTTTTGTATAGAAAAGCTTTTGTGTCAAAAAGTTTTCTATAGAAAAGCGTTTGTGTCAAAAAATCTTCTAGAAGATGAGGGAGAAGAGCTGTTAATGCAAAAAGTTTTCTAGATAAAGATTTTAATGAAATAATTTAAAGTTTTCTAAGGAAAGTCTTTATATGTAGAAAGTTTTCTAAGGAAAACTTTTTAATGCCAAAACTTTTCTATAGAAAAGCTTTTAATGTTTTCTATAGAAAAGCTTTTTATTTAAATAGCTTCTAGAGGACAGCTTTTAATGCATGAAATGAAATGTTAAGAAACACTTTCAATGCAAAAAATTTTCTATAAAAAAGTTCGTCAGAAAGTTTTTGCATCCAAAAGCTTTCAATAGAAATGTTTTTGTTTCCAAAAGCTTTCAATATAAAAGTTTTTGTATCACAAAAAGTTTTCAATAGAAAATTTTTTATCTCAAAAAGTTTTCAATGGAAAAGTTTTTGTCTCAAAAAGTTTTCAATAGAAAAGTTTTTGTTGTAAAAAGTTTTCAATAGAAAAGTTTTTGTTGCAAAAAGTTTTCAATAGAAATGTTTTTGTTGTAAAAAGTTTTCAATACAAAAGTTTTTGTTGTAAAAAGTTTTCAATAGAAAAGTTTTTGTTGCAAAAAGTTTTCAATAGAAAAGCTTTTGTCACAAAAAGTTTTCAATAGAAAAGTTTTTGTCTCAAAAAATTTTCAGTAGAAACATTTTTGGCTCAAAAAGTTTTTAGTAGAAAAGTTTTTGTCTTAAAAAGTTTTCAATAGAAAAGTTTTTGTTTTAAAAAAATTTCTACAGAAAAGTTTACGTTTTAAAAAGTTTTCAATAGAAAAGTTTTTGTTGCGAAAAGTTTTTATCTCATGTTCGTTTCAAGATTGAGTTACAGCATTTAAAATTTAATATGAAAATATTTTCTTTTTTTTTTAACTTTTACTAACATCATTAGTTTTGTTAAAAATGTTATTATAACTTAAGAAACAAACAAAAAACTAAATTACTTTGCACTAAAACAAAACACACATTTTTTTAACTAAATAAAATAATATTTTTTTGTTTTTGCATAAAAGACAAATAAGTTATTAATAACAAATTAATAAATTAAAAAAAAAAAAACAAAAATATTTTTATCTGTATGTATGAGAAGAACTGTTCAATAAGGAAAAAATAGTAAAAAACAAGTTTTTAAAAAATAAACAAAATTTCCAATATTACACAACAAATTGTTTATAGATGAGATATGCAAAATAAAAACAAAAAGAAAATCTTTATATAAGAATTTAAATTTAAAATAAACAAAAAAAATATATAAAATATTATATACGAAAACATATTGTACTACAATTAGTTTAATAAAGAAAACAAAAATTATAAATAAAAATTATTTAATAATATAATGGCTAAAAGTTAAATGGGAGTTTCGAGCTTTTAATGCTTTGTCGGTAAGTAATTTGTTTCGTGAATAAAAATTTACTATCATACCCAGGTAAAAAATTAGAACTTGTTCTAAAAACAACTAGTTCTAGAACGAGTACAAACAGAACCACTTCAGTAACCTTGGAACTAGTGGTGTCACCATTACATCTGGAACCCATTGCTGTGTTTCTTAAATACTTCGAAATAGTTTTCAAAAAACTAGTTCTGTGAAACTAATTATACATTGCTACTACACTAGTTCAATGGAACGCATACTAGTTCCGAAAAGGTAATGAAAAATTCGTCATCCGATCGCGAATAAAAATTTACTATCATGAATGTTCCGAGAGTTTTTCAAACATGATTATCATCATAATCAATACATTTCTAAAGCACTGCACAGCATTAAATCCGAGTCTGTTCTGTATCACATCGGGTTTTCGTGATATCGTGTCATTAGTACAGTTATTATGATCTTCATGATCTTACTCAAATCGTAGACAGCTAAATCTGGTTATTAAATCTACATACATACATTACCGGATAATCGAATCCGAAGTATACTTCAGAAAGGTGGCATTTACTCTAAATCGCGAGTCCTCGATTTAAGATGTTAGTGATTCGATTAAAAACTTTTCCAATTGAAAACTTTTTGGATTCAAAACTTTGTAGCAAAAACTTTTTATTTCTATTAAAAACTTTTTGAAACGAATTTTTTTCTAAATTTTTTGCAACAGTTTCGAAAAAAAGTATTTTTTTTTTTCAAAAGCTTTTTGGGCTTTTTAACGAAAACTTTTTGAACAAAAACTTTTATATATTGAGATTTTGTTTGTTTGAACTTTATAAATTGAAAGCTCTTTGGATCAAATACTTTATGGATCAAAAAGTTTTCTATTGAAAAAAATACGCTTTTATCTAAATTTGTTCAATTAAAAGCTTTTAGGGCTTTTTTAACAAAAACTTTTTATATCAGATACTTTTCTATTAAAAACCTTTAGGAATAAAAGCTTTTCTAACGAAAACTTTTTGCAACAAATACTTTTTTATTGAAACTTTTTAAATCCAAAAGTTTTGGACTTTTTCTAACGAAATCTTTTTGAACAAAAACTATTATATTGAGAACTTTTTGGGTCAAAAACATTGGATCAAAAACTGACCATCGAAGACATTATGGTTTCTTTCGAATGCTTTTTGCACCGAAAAATTTATATTGAAAACTTTTTGGATCGAAAACTGTCGAGAAATTTTTGCAACAAATACTATTTTATCGAAACTTTTTGAATCAAAAACTTCAAGAACTTTTTCTAAGGAAAGCTTTTTGTAACGAAAACTTTTATATTGAAAACTTTTTGGATCGAAAAAATTCTAATGAAAACTTTTTGCAACAAATACTATTTTATCCAAACTTTTATAATCAAAAACTTCTTAAACGGTTTCTAAGGAAAGCTTGTTGCATCAAATAGTTTACTATTGAAAACTTATTGGACTAAATGAAAACTTTTCTAACGAAAACTTTTACGATCGAAAAGTTATCTAATGAAAACTTTTTGCTACAAATGCTTTTTTTAATGAAACTTTTTAAATCAAAAACTTTTTGAACTTTTTCTAATGAAAACTTTTAGCAACAAAAACTTTTCTAATTGAAAACTATTGAAGCTTTAGTTATTAAAAATTGTCTATTGAAAACACTTTGGTTTAAAAACTTTCCCAATGAAAACTTTTAGCAACAAAAACTTTTCCTTAACGTACACTTTTGAATTTTTCTAAAAGAAAAACTTTTTAATTCAAAACTTTTTTGTTCATAAACTTTTATATTGAAAACTTTTTTGTTCAAAAACTTTTTAATTGAAAACTTTTTTGTTCAAAATCTTTTTTGTTTAAAACTTTTCAATTCAAAAACTTTTTTAACGGAAACTTTTAGTTTCTAAAACATAAAAGCTTTTCTTCAAAAACTTTTCTATTGAAAACTTCTTTGTTTAAAAACTTTTTTGTTTAAAAGCTTTTCTATTGAAAACTTTTTTTTTCAAAAACTTTTATATTGAAAAAACTTTTATATTGAAAACTTATTAATTCAAAAACGTTTTTAACGGAAACTTTTTGTTTCAAAAACTTTTATATTGAAAGCTTTTCTTCAAAAACTTTTTTATTCAAAAACTTTTATATTGAAAGCTTTTTTGTTCAACATTTATATTAAAAACTTTTTAATTAAAAAACTTTTTTAAATGAAACTTTTCTATTGAAAATGTTTTTGTTCAAAAACTTTTATATTAAAAATTTATTAATTCAAAAACGTTTTTAACGGAAACTTTTTGTTTCAAAAACTTTTATATTGAAAGCTTATCTTCAAAAACTTTTCTATTGAAAACTTTTTTATTCAAAAACTTTTATACTGAAAGCTTTTTTGTTCAACAACATTTATATTTAAAATTTTTTAATTCAAAAACTTTTTTAACAGAGACCTTTATTTTCTAAAACTTTTATATTGAAAGCTTTTCTTAAAAAACTTTTCTATTGAAAATTTTTTTGTTCAAAAACTTTTATATTAAAAATTTATTAATTCAAAAACGTTTTTAACGGAAACTTTTTGTTTCATAAACTTTTATATTGAAAGCTTTTCTTCAAAAACTTTTCTATTGAAAACTTTTTTATTCAAAAACTTTTCTATTGAAAACTTTTTTGTTCAACAACATTTATATTAAAAACTTTTTAATTCAAAAATTTTTTTAACAGAAACTTTTATTTTCTAAAACTTTTATATTGAAAGATTTTCTTCAAAAACTTTTCTATTGAAAACTTTTTTCTTTTAAAACTTATACTGAAAGCTTTTTTGTTCAACAACATTTATATTAAAAACTTTTTAATTCAAAAACTTTTTTAACAGAAACCTTTATTTTCTAAAACTTTTATATTAAAAGCTTTTCTTCAAAAACTTTTCTTTCTATTGAAAACTTTTATGTTCAAAAACGTTTTTAACGGAAACTTTTTGTTTCAAAAACTTTTATATTGAAAGCTTTTCTTCAAAAACTTTTCTATTGAAAACTTTTTTATTCAAAAACTTTTATATTGAAAGCTATTTTGTTCAACAACATTTATATTAAAAACTTTTTAATTCAAAAACTTTTTTAACAGAATCTTTTATTTTCTAAAACTTTTATATTAAAAGCTTTTCTTCAAAAACTTTTCTATTGAAAACTTTTTTGTTCAAAAATTTTTATATTAAAAATTTATTAATTCAATAACGTTTTTAACGGAAACTTTTTGTTTTAAAACTTTTATATTAAAAGTTTTTCTTCAAAAACTTTTATACTGAAAGCTTTTTTGTTCAAAAACTTTTATACTGAAAGCTGTTTTGTTTAACAACATTTATATTAAAAACTTTCTAATTCTAAAACTTTTTTAACAGAAACTTTTATTTTCTAAAACTTTTATTTTGAAAGCTTTTCTTCAAAAACTTTTCTATTGAAAACTTTTATGTTCAAAAACGTTTTTAACGGAAACTTTTTGTTTCAAAAACTTTTATATTGAAAGCTTTTCTTCAAAAACTTTTCTATTGAAAACTTTTTTGTTTTAAAACTTTTATACTAAAAGCTTTTTTGTTCAACAACATTTATATTAAAAACTTTTTAATTCTAAAACTTTTTTAACAGAAACTTTTATTTTCTAAAACTTTTATATTGAAAGCTTTTCTTCAAAAACTTTTCTATTGAAAATTTTTTTGTTTAAAAATTTTTATATTAAAAATTTATTAATTCAATAACGTTTTTAACGGAAACTTTTAGTTTCATAAACTTTTATATTGCAAGCTTTTCTTCAAAAACTTTGTAAACTTTTTTATTTAAAAACTTTTATACTGAAAGCTGTCAACAACATTTATATTAAAAACTTTTTAATTCAAAAACTTTTTTAACAAAAACTTTTATTTTCTAAAACTCTATTGAAAACTTTTTTGTTCAAAAACGTTTTTAACGGAAACTTTTTGTTTCAAAAACTTTTATATTGAAAGCTTTTCTTCAATAACTTTTCTATTGAAAACTTTTTTGTTTTAAAACTTTTATATTGAAAACTTTTTTGCGCAAACACTTTTATATTGAAAACTTTTTTCTTCAAAAACTTTTTTAAAGAAAAATGTTAAGAACAAAAGCTTTTTTATGAAAAAAAATTTTTTGCAACAAAAAAACATTCGAACAAAAGCTTTCAAAACGAAAAATTTTTGTAACAAAAAGTGGGTGGTATTTCTTCATTTCTAATTGAAACACATTTTATTTTATCAGTTTAATATGCAATTTATTTTTTACATAATTACTTAATTAAAATTGATTTTGTTTTATTACTTTATTGTATATTTTTGTATGCGTAATGATGTAATTGGAATTAATTATAATAATAATAAAAAAATTCATCAATTTTTGTGGCCATCAAACAGGCAATATAATAAAAAAATCATAATTGTAAAAAATAAAAGAAGAAATGGAATATTATTTATTAGATTTTTCATTATATAATTATATAAACTATAAATGAAAAAAGTATATATTTAAATAAATTTTATTTTTATTATTTAAGTTTAGAAGGAAATGATAACAAATTTCGAAAAAAACAATAATTTCCATAAAAATTTATTTTTATTTTTAACTAAAAGAATGTAATGAAGGAGTAAAGGATGCAATGAAAACAAAACATTTTGGAAACCATTATTATTATTATTAATAGAATATATTTCTTTTTTTTTTAATTTAATTTAATTAAACTTTAACACACAATTAACCATAAAAAAACAAAGAAAACACATTTAAAGCCAAAAAGGAGGAACAAAGTACTGGAAACCGGACACAGTGGTAGAAAAACGGGTTTAAAGAAAATATTATTGTAAAATAAAGCGAATGTATTTTGTATATACTATAAGTTTTCATATTTTAATTTTTAATAAAATAAATCATAATTAAAAAAATGCAAAAAAGAAAAGAAAATTTATAACCAATGCATTTTTTAACTTTTTCTTTCTTTTTTGTTTAAACAATTTCATTGTATGTAAATGTT